CTCTCTCTCTCTCTCTCTCTCTCTCTCTCTCTCTCTCTCTCTCTCTCTCTCTCTCTCTCTGTGCCTCTCCGGGCCTGTGACGTTGTAGTTTGGAGATAATGACGCTTGCTCAAGTTCATGAGGGCCCTCTGTCTCGATGCTGCTTAAAGAACAGAATATCAAACATGCCCTTTGGCTTAGGAGGAGAGCTGCACACCCTTTGATGAGGACACTGAACGGCTGTAAACCAAGCATTAAATTAAAGAGCGGGGAAGAAGACAAAAGGGATACAATGAACATGTCCATGATAGAATTAAGCTGGTCAGTGAGAGTAAAATAAAGACATTTCATTTGAAATAAAACATGCAAGAGGCAGAAACAGCATCTACTTAAGACATTTTCTGTCTTATTTGGACTGCAGTTTATAGAATAATTTAAAAAGTTTGATAAATGTGATTTTTTTTCTCCCTCTTGCTGATGAAGTGTTGCTTCTCTCACTCTCTCGCACACCGAGGCATAAGCTTACYGAGGCCTCTCGTGTGCTGACTGGATGTCTTTGACACTGATCATAAATTCAAATTGCCAATTTACTCAACTGTTACATTTCTATTTAAATAAATCTGATGAAAATTATTTACAGCTCATCCTGCAGAGCCAAATTGCCCTTTGAGTTTCTGTTTAAAAAATAGATTGCATCAGATCGCACAAATTACAAGCTGCAAAGTTTATTTTTGTTTCTGTGCAAGAAACTCGTTTGACTTGTACGCAGAAAGTGTCTTGCAGTGATGCTGATGTGACGCAAGTACGCAGGGTTTATTTTAACTCCCAATAAAAATAACTGACAACTAATCAGTTTGTCACTAAGGCTAATTAAGAAATAGATTGCCAACTCTGCTGGGTTTTATTATGMTCACAAAACAGCCATAACTTAATCTTTATGAGCACATCTGCAAGAGTTATACAGGATCRCTATTTTGGATTTTGCACAATTGAATCAGAAATTGTTCAGGCTTGGTGGAGGTCTTCCAAACATTGAACTTTGGCTGCTTTTTCCACGTTTTTGGTCTAGTACTTCACATTTTTCAGACAATTGTCTTTCTGATTGTTATAGGTGACTTTTTTCTGACTTGTGAGCTATTCATATGAAAGTGTTTCTTAACTCAAGGGATAAACCAGTGTTTTGTGTCTACACATATCACAAACAACAGAAAAATAATTTAAAACTGAAATGTTAGTCCTTTTGTTTCTATCTATGATTGAATATTAGGGCTACACTACAAGAATTTTTTTATTTTTGAGTCACTGGTCAGCATAAGAATATGCTTTCATCCACATTATGAGATGACTAAATCCATCAATGAAGCCATTAACTGACATACAGCGTCASTTTATCATATGTATCCATACTGATAATATTTTGATATCAATGTGTTAAAAGACTGAGTATTTCCTTTTTTGTAAAACTGATACCAAAGTATAACTTCACAAGATGCTTAGCATTTCTCATTTTAACGCAACGGTGAGACTGCTTTAATCATGTAGGAGTTCTCATAATATCATGACTTTTTTCTCTTGCTACTTTTTTCTCTAAATAGTACAACTTTAATTTGGTTAGTAAAAAAAATATTGTAACACGGCCCTAATACTCCATCCTATCAGCCAGTTATAAAGACACCTTTTGTTCCATTGTCTTCGGTTGAGTCAATAGAAAATATCAGATAACACAATTTTACAAATAAAATTGTGTTATCTCAAAGAGCAAGCTGAAAACTTGTCATAGAGTTGATGATCAGCTGAAAGATGATGCGTCTTTTAGAGCCTATAGGTGAAACTTTCAGAAAGTAGTTTTTTTTAACAACATAGACTTGTTTTATCCTTCACTTGTCCAATTTCTTCATATTTTAAACACACTACAAAAATATGCTGTCATGGTCAGGTAYGAGGCTAAAAAAGTTGAAAAAGGCAGATAAAACATAGAGGAAAAATAAAATAAAATAAAAAACAGAAAGAACTTCAGAGTCCAAAGTTCAGATGTTAGTAGGAGCTTTAACAAAATGAGAAATAGTTTTGATAAGAAAAACCACTTGCATTGAAAAAATAAAAAAAAATTTTCTCAATCGTTTGATTAAAACTCATAAATAATAAGTTCAAAATGCAAAACAGAAAAAAACCCGTCTTTTTTACAGTCCAAAATTCTTGATGTGTTGGAGTGCTTAGAGTTCATCTGAAACAGTTTTCTACACACACCCACACAACAATATTTTTTTTATAAGTAAAGTCAAATTTAGCTAGTTGTTTCACTTCTCCCAATCTTGTGCTTCAGCCTAAATGAACTCAAATAGCACAGGATTTCAGTGCAGTTTGAAATTAAACAAGACCATAARAGTCACATTCTCCCAGATCATTCAATAATGAAAATTTCTTTCTTATATTGTTTGAAGTGCTTCTTCCTTGGTAAAACTAATGACAAATGYCAACCAGTAATTTTAAAAAGTCAGGTGAAGGCCATGAAATTGCTTCATGGATGTGACTTGTGCACATATTCCCCCACAGCTTTATCATATCTCTCTGGAGCTCTGCAGCCAAATCCTCCCTGGAGTAAAACACCGGGTACATGTGGTATTTTACTGTCTGGCAGCCTTTTAATTGTTTCTACACTCTCCAAAGACCATTTGCTCCATAGGAGAAATAACCTAGATATGCAAATAAGCATTCCCAATTAATTTAACTCATATAATTATGTGGAAGGAAAGAGATTGGGTTGTGGAAAAAAAGTCATTCCTTGTGCCAAGTTGTCCTCCCACTCTAACCCCCTCACTCTACAGGGTACAGCTAAATTAGCTCGGAATATTGAAGCATGCTTGGCTTCACAGATGAACATCAATTATCTCCAACAATATAATGTGCAGTCTTTGGCTTTAGAAATCAACACACAGTGCTGCTGCTGGAAATCAATGCAACTGGTTTAAATGCAAGTCCATTAAATGTGATCTTGTGATCTTATATTAAATATGGTTCTTAAAGTTTAATTTAAAATTCTCAGTGTGGCGTGTTAGAGCAAAAGGGATCTGTTCATCTAAAAAAAGTCTGTCTTTATAACAGGAAAACCCTCAAAGTTCTTGGGGATTCTGAAATCCTAATGAGCAAGTTTTCCAGGGAAAGCTTTTCATTTGAATCTAGAAATGATTTTAAATATAAATCATACATGACCCATATGTGATGAGATCAAAGATGTTCTTGGATGTTTCCTGAAATGCAACATGATAAATGTTAAAATAAAATAAAAAAGTTATAATTCAACATGATTTATGACCCAACAGGACACTAAATAATGTGTTACAATGCCTTTAATAAGTTCATAGTTAATAAAAAGTTTATAATTAGTAATTGTTTCTCCTTTTTATCCTTTGTTTGGTTGTTTTCTGATTGAAGGAGAAAAATGTAAAGTTCAATGCGAAGAAATTGCATAAGCATTTCCATTGTGAATTTGAAAATCATAAAGAAATCAACTGGCTTTTTATTTGTAAAGTATTTTTAACATTGTTTAAAAATGGTTGAAATAGTTATTTTAAAGGACAACAAGTTGTAATTTTTTGTTTGTTTTTGTACTTGTTATATTCTAAATGTTGTCTTTATGATATTTTGCAGTTGATCTTCCATCAACTCTACCTATAATTTGTTGTTTTAGGGTTAAGTCCTATACACTGTAAGTCCTGGCGGTCTTGGCACATTGAACTTTATAGGTTTAAAACTGTTCATTATTTACTAAACCCAAAAGTGCAAATAGAGTTGAGAAAATATTAAGAGTAAACTTTAAATTGCCTGACAACTAATAAAGGAATATTTTTTCTACCAGTGAAACCTTTTGTTTGAACAAGCAGCTAAATAAAAGTTAGAAAATTTTCATTTTCAGTGAACTTCAAACATTCCTTCCTATTTGAATTTGAATCTGTCTATTTTTCTGAAGTGTTAGAATCTCACCCAGCTAAGCATTTTTATTGTTATTAATATGATGAATGATAATTATTTAGCCACTTTAAAAAATGGCTGAATAATTTGTCCTTTTTAAATCTCAGAAATATGTCTGTTAGGAAGAGCAAGAGGACAATACAGAATGATTTTAGATCATTTTTCTTCTAAGGTAATTTATACTTTCAGATATCTCAAGATGCTAAGAACAGCAGCTCTCAAGCAGACATTTCAGGTGATTTAAATACAGTAAATATAAAATACTTTGGATGAAAATCAAGGTCAGTAAAAGGGCTTTGATCAATAAACTTTGAATAAATGACTTTCAATTTGTTTTCTTCAGTATGGCGTAGACATTTCAGCCAGTAGAGCAACAACAACATGCACAGGGTTGACATATTTACTTTTGCTGGAAGCAAACAAACTTCAGCAGTCCTCAATATTTCAACTGTGGCACTGTGATGCCAATTAGCTCACTAAAACAGAATATATGTAAATGCTCTGAATTAATTAATCCCATGACACACGTAGACTAATTAGCTGGTAATCCCCAACTCCTATTGCTCCATATTTAAGTCAAACCCTCTCGGTCCAGATATGAGGACAGCAGATACCAAAGTGTGAAATCTGTAAGAATAATTATTTCTTTAAATGGATGTTTTCTTCCTTTTTTTTTTTGGCAAGCTAATTAGTGGTGCTACTTTTCTGTTAGCGCATTTACTGACGTCTTCTAGGACACTGCAAACCAACAAGGAGAATGTTGATGTTAATCAAAAGATTTTGACTTTAAATAACAGTTGTAATTAAGAGGAGCTCTAATTATGGAGAGCGTGGTTCTCTGGTGGTCTGTGTGCGACTTAAAAAGATAGA